TTTTTTTTTTTTTTTTTTGGTACTGGGGATCGAACTCAGGTCCTTGCGCTTGCAAGGCAGGTGGCGGAACCACTGGGCTAAATCTCTGGCCCTAGGATGGTGGGCTTTTATAGATACTATATTTTCTCCAGACCTGCTGGAATGTACATCTCCTACGTGTAACTTTAAAACAAAGCAATTAAAAAGCATGCTACAGCACCTACAAGTTTTTTCAGATCCCAGGTCTTCTGGCAGAGCAGACACCAATCACATAGAGGCCAACCCTGTGCTTTGCATAAAGCTTCCTCTACCTCCACCTTCCTCAGCTGAGAGTTTAGGTGGGGTGCCAACTCCCTGGCTTCTCCTCCCACACAAACGCTGTACAACACTGTCCACTTATTCCTCAGCTTCAAATAGCAGAGAAACAGATGGGTTCTTCTACTGGGTCAGCATGGTAGGAAAACTGTCTCCCACGGCTGGGCCAGGGCTGAGGTTAGCAGGACCGGCCTGGAAAGGTGAACACAAGTCCACCATACTGTTTGGCCTGAGCCTCAGTTTCCTCTCTGAACAATGATGATGTCACTACTCCTTGCCTGCACAACACCTAACCCGGGCAGGCTCATGGTCCTGGCACTGGGAAAGCTGAGACAGGAGGATTACAAACTATAAAGTGAGATCCTGCCTCAAGCTCCTCACTTGGAGCCTGTTGTGAGGGGGGCAATCATGTGCTTAGCAGTCCCGCTGGGCTTAAAGGAATCCTGTATCTTTGGAAGCCTCTTAGTGGGCAGAGGAGGAGCTATAGTCACAGTGCTCTGTGATCCTTGCTGAGCATGAATAGGAAAAGACTAAAATAGGGAAGCAGGTGGCTTTGTGGTATGGGTTATACACAGTGACCGACAGGAGCCTCAGAATTGTGAGGAGTGAGATGCCAGAGGAGCTGGAGGCCTGCAAGGAGAAGACAAAATACACTGAAGCCCAAGAGGTGGAGCAGCCCAAGGGGTGAGCCTGGGTTGGCTTGCTCCTCCACCACCAGGTGCTCATAGGACAGAAGTTTTAGCCACATAACCATCTTGTTGTGGACATCTCACCTTCGCTTTACAGGTGAGGAAACTGACTTAGCCAGGGAAATTCCTTGCACAAGCTTCACTTGCCAGCCAGGCGTCGTGATGCACACCTGTAATCCCAGCACCTGGGAGGCTGAGGCAGGAGGATCCCTGTGAGTTCGAGACCAGCCTGGGCTACATAGTGAGACCCTGACCACCACCACCAACAAATCAAGTGGCAATTGCTTGTGTGGAGGAGCCATGACTCAAATGATTTATACATGTCCTTTCAAAAGCAATGCACTGCTTCAAGTCAGAAAACCTAGGTCATCTGTGGGTTCTGCCTTTGAGTTCTGATGTGGCCCAGAGCCTGTCTTTCACTGTGTAGATGATAAGGACCAGATAACGAGAGAAGTGCTTGTGACGTGCTAGTGATAATGCGGTAGTTCGGGAGATCGTGCATGTACGCAGTAAAGTGCTATGAAAGCCTACAGGAAAGATATGTGCATGTCTACCGCTCTCCAAGGTCACACTGCCTATCAGTGGCACAGTAAAGTGCATTGCAATCATTTCTGCTCTGGCACGATGTGAATCCCAGGTCTGCCACTGGAAAATGAACACGCTGGAGAACGTAAGGTAAATTTCATCTTCCACCCAGCTGTGCTGGGGCAGGAAGCCAGTTGCCAAGAGACCAAAGAAAACAGCCAGGGGTGTCTTGGGCGAGATGAGGGTTATGAAGACTTGCTAACGGGCAAGGTTAGAGTTCTTTGCGACTTACTAACAGTGGAAGTGTCCACAAGAAGCATGCGTGGGTCCAAAAGCACCTCTCAGAAAATCCCACGGAGGGTAAGTACTGAGCAACAGCACCACATGGCAGATCACACCAACTGTGTAACCTGGAAACAGCACTGTTTGGTAGAATCCCTGGGGGACACTCACTGTACAACAGTGTCACTCAGCAAGGCCACGGGAGTGAATACTTCACAGCGCCTCTCAGGAGGTACAGTGACGATGGGCTAGGCGATGAGGATTCTCCCAGAAGAGGAGGGTGCACTGGCTGGGTGGTACTCTGTTCCACACGCAGTTATTGCAGGGAGGGGTTTATAAATTCAACAGAGCAGTGTATCATTCGCTGTTTCCTTGTGTGACCAGCAGTCCAAGGACAGCTGACTTAGCATACGGGCAGGAAGGCAGCTCCGCCAGATAATGCCAGCTTGCCCAGTTCCTGGTGTTCCGACTTGTCCAAACATCCTGGTTCTGTCCACTCAGGGTGTACCCTGGACTTGCCAAAAGTCTTGGGAACACAAAAGGAGAATGGCACTAATGCTGTCGTGCTTTTCAGGGATGATATAAAATAAAATATTTCCCAATGTTGTTGTGAGGCTGCACAGATACAGTGGTTTGGCCTTCAGTAGGTGCTGAAGAAATGACAGCTGCCTCCCTCTTTCCTCTGACTGTCCACAGGCTCACCTCTCGCCACTTTAAGGCTTCCTTATGACCTAAGGATGAGTCATGGGAGTTTCCCCAAACACAAATTATATTAAATGATCCCATATCATACATGGGTTTAATGAATTTTTAAGTGTTGTTTGAAAAACAAATTCTTGATTTTCAAAGAAAGCATAGTTTCCTGCTCCTTTGGAGTTGACGTATGTTTTTCAGGTCTCAGGTATTTTTGTAGATTTGGCAAAGTACTAGGCTCCATGCCTTGCAGCCATCATCACCAGAGAAAAAAGGGATCTGGAGGCTTCCTTTGTTGAAGGAGAAGGAGGGCAAGGAGAATTTCTGATCTACAAAGTAGAGTGCCCCATTCCCACAGGCTGCCCGTGTCTCCTGGTCCGGGGTAGTTCAGATCCCAGTCTGGTATGTTGGGACTTTTCCTTACAGGCCATTTCTCAGTCGCTACCTTATTTGATACTCTCAGGATGGGCAAGATGTCAATAACCTCAGGCCCAGCGAGGCCGACTGGCTTGTCAAAGTCCCTTGGCCCGGATTAGAAACCAGAGGGCTGCCCCCCACCCAGGGTCCTGGTGCCTGGGACTTCTCCGGCATATTGTAGTTAGTGCTGAATTCCTTGGTGAAGGGCCTGGGTCCTCATCATCTGTGTTCGGTTCCGTCAAAATCTGTGGCTCCATCCTCTCAGGAACAGCGTATTTCTATTACAGCAGCCACTTCCCAAGGTTCAAGTAAACAGGCATGATGCCACTGTGTCTCAGCTTTGCCGTCAGAGAAGTCAGGATCTGAGCCCCAGCTTCCTCATCTGTCAAGTGAGCATAAAAATCCCCACCTTAGCTGGGCACAGTGGCAAGTGCCTCTGGTCCCATCTATTTGGGAGGCTGAGACAGGAGGATTGCTTGAGCCCAAAAATTTGAGGACACTATGGGCAACACAATTAGATCCTGTATTAATAAAAGGGGGTGGTACAAAGGCTATAGCTCCATGGTAGAACTCTTACGTATATGCACAAGGCCCTGGGTTCTATCCCCGCTACTGAAAAATAACCCCCACCTTGCAGAATGACCAAAATGCTGAAGATAAGCAAGTGAAGGCCCAGGTGCCTGCTAGGGACTCCTCGTTCTAGTTGTCCTCCCCCAAATTTGAGTGACTACACCCATACCGGCACACCTTCCACGCTGCGGGCACTGTTCTAGGTGCTGAGGACCCAGAGAAGAGCAAGACAGGCTTTGTGCCCCTGTGAGCTGACATGGTACACAGGGAGAACGATTTACCAATGAGATCATTTCATCTCCAAAGAACATGAAGCGAGGAGACCATACTCAGTGACCAGATGGGCCAGGGGAGGGCAGGGCAGGAAAGGAAGCCTTCTCTGAGGAGGTGACCTTTGCCCTGAGGTCTCAATGAGGAGAGGCAAGCAGCCACCTGATGAAGTGGGGAGGCCAGGCAGAGCTGTGGAGGTGACAAGGAGGAGACCCTGAGGAGAGTAAATGTCAGGAGAGGTCAGTGGTAAGGAGACTGGGGCCTGAGGTGGAGCTGCTGCACTCTCTGCTGTTTTTTCCACTATTCTGGCTGCTCCTGGAGTCGGGCCCTCTGGGCCACATACACACACCAGGAAGTGCCGGGGAGGTGACAAAGTTTCAGTTCTACACACTGGCTAGAAACTGACCACGGACACAGTTTCTGGAATGGCAAAATGTTCATTGCTAGCTGATGTCAAACTGCTCAGCTTGTGGTCAATTGAAAAACAGCCTACTGGAGGCCTGGGTCTTCAGAGGGAGTTAGGGGACCACACTGGAGAGAAGGCACAGGCCTGGCCAGCCCAGCCTGAGGACTGGGAGCAGGAACAAGCCACTCACAGCAGACATTCAGAGGCCTGGCAGGCCCGCCCGCTCTGCCCACCTACTAAACAGGCTGTTTTTCTCCTTTAGCAATCACATCTCCAGAGGAGAGGATCCGATCCCAATTCCCATGTGATCTCAGGTGTGCTGCTCTCTGGACCTTAGTATTCTTATCTGTAGCATAGGGATGCAAGGGCCTGAATTTGATCCCCTGTACCAAAAAAAAAAAAAAAAAAAAAAAAAAAAAAAAAAAAAAAAGAAAGAAAAAGAAAGAAAGAAAGAAAGAAAGAAACATTTGGGAGGAAGAGGACTGAGGATTACAGGGCTATTCTGGGGCTGCAGTCAACACCCTGTGGCTTGGGTGGGGCCCTGAAGTCAACAGAATAAGCCAAGACCGTCAGGCCTAGCCTCAGCTTCCTGGGGTGACTGATGTTGACCAAGTGACCCAGGAAGTGGAGAAGGAAGTGACAGCAATGGTGGGAGGAGGGTGAGGAAATCCCTAACTCCACGGTCTTAGTCAGACACAGGATTCTGAGGGCAGAGGTCATAACCAGCGATTGAACCTGCTTGTGCTGGGTGCCATGCTGGGTGCCATGCTGGGTAATCCTGACAAACCCGCTCCGTCTTACCTGCTCCTTTGGGTCCCTTTCCCTCGGTTTCAACAAGAGGTGTTTGACATTTCAGCTTCCCTGCTTTGGAGTCGAGTCCAACTTTTGGTCAACCATGTCAGCAAACAGGGCCACTCCCAGCTGCTCCAGCCGTCACCCTGAATCCAGACCACTAGCGAGGACATCCACATGAGAAACTCAGCTCTTCTTGGAAATTACATTCCACCCTCTCGTCTAGTTCTCAGAGTCTCACGTCTTTTTCTTATGTGAGGCAAGTTCTCACTATGCAGTTCAGGTTGGCCTTGAACTCACCGTATAGCCCAGGCTAGCTTCAAACTCGTGGCAATCCTCCTGCCTCAGCCTCCTGAGTGCTGGGATTTTAGGTGTGTGCCACCACATTTTTGCTGGTATTCATTAGTAAGATCTTCCAACTCATTTAGGGAGTAAGGTTTCTCCTTCCAGGTCAGATTTTTATATGCATTTCACTGGCATGTGACAGGATCTGGCTCTAGTGATGGGCTCAGGGAATGACTTAGCATCCCCCGAGGTTCCATGGCTCATATGTGGCCCCAGACCCTCAGTACTTAATGGCTATACTCTGTCACCTTCACTTGAAAGCCTGTGCCCTGCTCAGAGCACCCTGAGGGTCACGTGGCCCAGTCTCTTATGCTGCTACCATGGATACTGGGGATGTGTGACCCTGTCCTCTGCTCTGCTCAGGACCTTCCTGGGCAGAACCAGGCTGTGGGCTCTTTTACCTCAACCTGGGGACCTAGAGGAGACCTCCAATCACCTGTGCCATGCTCCTGCCCATAGAGCCCCTCCTCCTCCAGGCTCGGGGGAACCAGCACTGAAGGAGGCTCTCTTCCCCCAGTAGGGAAGTTCTGGCACATCACTGACCTGCACCTGGACCCCAACTACACGGTATCCCAAGACCCGCAAGAGGTGTGCCCCTCGGCTGGCAACCAGCTGGTGTACAATGCGGGCCCCTGGGGTGACTACCTCTGTGACTCTCCATGGGCCCTCATCAACTCTTCCATCTACGCCATGAAGGAGATCGAGCCGAAGCCAGACTTCATTCTCTGGACGGGGTAAGAGCAGTCATGGTGACGGTCCCCCTTCACTGGGCACCTTCCCCTCTTCCTCTACTTTAGTCCTCCTATCAGCCCCGTTTTAAGGACTTATATAACTTTCCAAGAGATCTTGGCTGATGCCAAAGACTGCCCGCAAACTCCAGGACCTTGCCTCTGAAGACATAGCTCTTACTGAGGTTGGGGATGTAGGTGTGGCCTGTCTGGGCACCTGGAGAAGCCCCTGGGTTTAAACTGGGAATGGATATTAGAGCCACTGGCCCTGGGGTTTAGGGACAATAACTGTCCTGATCAGCTGCTGGCCATCCCTGGGCTGCCCAGTAGCCCTGAAAAGGACTCTTTGATCAGGGCAGTGACTCAATCTCTGCTCCTCCTCCAAGAACACTGCCTAAGGCCTTCACCTTCCCTGGGAACTTGCCTTCCTCACCACTCCAGGTTCCCTGGTCCCTCGTGCACCCTCACCTGGCAGGTCACCCCATCACATGACTAGCCCTGGGGTGGCACCGGGAAACAGATGGTACAGAGGCCAACTTGTGGGTGATGCAGACAGGCCCACTACTCACCATATTCCAGGGAGGAGACAGTGCCCCCTGGGGGACATGGAGGCTTCACAGAGCACTTGACCCTAGGACTTCCTGGAAATGGTGAACTAGGGGGCTGATGAGGAAGGCTGAAGGAGCCTGGACGTGGTGCTTCCTCTGCCAGCATCAGTAGATACTTCTGGAAGGCATGGTGAAATCCATGGTACCCCTAGCTGTCTTACTGTGACATGCAAATGCCCAAGAATGACCCTCAGATATACCCTGTCTTAGTTACTCTTTCATTGCTGGGCCAAAATACCCGACACCCACAAGTTAAAGAAGATGTTTATTTCAGCTCAGTTTGTGGAAATTTTAGTCCATACTTGGCTGGCTCCAAGGCAGGGCGGCAAGTAAAGGGGCATCCAGAGGAGAAACAGCCCATGGCAGTGCAGGCAGGAAGGCAGCAAGCAGCAGCAGCAGCAGCAGCAGCAGCAGCCTCCCTTTCTCCTTTATCCCATCCAAGCTTTAAGCTTATTGGACCCAGGGTGGGCCTTCTCATTATCCACACATAGAACTATGCTAAACCAATTTAGTTGTCACACACCCATAGTCCCAGTATTACACACCCTAGGTTCAGCCACCTCTGGAAAGCCCCACCTATGGGCACATTAGGCTTCGGGGACATCTAGATACAAACCATAACAGACCCTGTGGTTGGCAGGGAGAAGGGAAAGGGCAGGCACTGAGACAAAGTCTAAGGAGGGGTCCGGACAGCCTTGGCTTCCTTGGGCCCAGGAATCAATCTAAAAAAAGGGTGAGCTTTGATTCACCTTGGACACCTGCTCCCTGGAGGGTTTTGCTAAGGAAGCCTCTGATTTCTCTGAAGTGGAGTAGATTACATTGTGAAAGATGTGATCTCTCTGGGAAAGGATTTGGGGAATTCATGATTTTTTCATAGATGCACAGTTTTTCTGGGAAACACCTGGGATTTTGCAGATTTATATGGCATTCGGTGAGATCAATGATCTCTTGGACCCTTTGTAATTCTTTACTTATAAAAAAAAACTGGCATCTCTGAGAGGGCTATAATCCCTTTGAGGAAAATCTGAAGAAACTGGATGTTTTTTATCAGACAGAATTAGAGTCAGGTGCATGCCTATAATCCCAGCCCTCAGGAGGCTGGAGCAGGAGGATCGCTGTGAGTTTGAGGCAAGCCTGGGCTACACAGTGAGTTCAAGTCCAGCCTGAACTACACAGCGAGACCTAGTTTGTCTCCTGTCTTCTTGTTCATGGTCTGTCACCAAGGAGTCATCAGGGCTAAACAGCTCCTCTCTCAGAAATGTGCCCTGGGGCCAGGATGACTACATTCAAATCTTGGCTCCACTTTTTTTTCTAGCTGTGTACAATGAAGTACAATTCCTAACTTTCTTGTGCTTTCCTTAGCAGTCAAAGAAATAGGAATGTCACTCAGTGGTGGAGTACTTGCCTAGTATGCATGAGGCCCTGGGTTTAATCCCTCATATGACAGAAAAAGGAATATTTATTTAGTGCACAGTTCTAAAGATTCCAGGGCACGGTGCTGGCATGTGCTCAGGTCTGGTGAGGGGCTTCTGGCCACAGCCCAACATGACAGGTGGCATCAGAATAGGAGTGCACGTGAGAGAGACATCATCACATGGCAAGGCAGGAAGCGGGAGACCCAGGGCCCAGGTTCACTCTTATGACAGGTTACTCTCTCGGGAATTAGCCAGGGTCCATGACCCCTCCTGAAAGCACAGCCCATAGCTGAGGTGCTTCACTCTGGGTCCCCACTCATGAAGGTCCCTCTGCCTCCCAGCATCACCGCCCTGGGGCCCAGGTACATGAACCCCTGGTGGCTGGGGCCAGGTCCCACCTGCAGGGATCCAGGGGCGCACACATTCATCCAAACCGTAGCAGCTACTCCACAACGCAGGCCAGCGTGAGCTCTCAGTAGCCATGCTAGTCAGGCACTGAGAGTTCCTATTAACCATGTAGCAGTTTACCCCGAGGGCCACTTGGGCTGCGCTTTCATGTACTAACCATCCTGAGTATCGCTCAGGCAGGTGTCATCTCAACTGGTCAATTCTCGTATTGAAAAAATTTTGATAAAATTGTTGTTTTTCTATTTCTGGTTATCCTATCTTGTAAAATTAATAAAATATGCAAATTTTGGTCTACCCTGTATTTAAATAATTGGACTGGCAAGTGGTTAAACTAGTTACGGTCCCTGGACGAGCACCTGGGTAGCAGCTTTCTCATTTGGTCTGGACCAGCAGAAGCCTCAGGATTTAGTTCTTCTGGACTTCTGCCCATCCCTAAACCCCACCTGCTGCCATTCTCCTTCATCTTGCTGAGCACTTTTAGGTTGAGCACAAGAATTCAAGTCACTTGTGTGGGGGACAAAATGGTCCTGGACCTGTCCTAGGGAAGATCTGCACCCTGTACTCCAAAGCCAGCTCCAGTTGCCTCTGAGGGAAATGAGTGGAGTGCAGAAATGGCCTCTAGACCCTGAGCTCCCTGAGGGCTTGCAGATGGAACATGAACTCCAGAGCTTTGTTCCTTAAATGACAACAGTTATACAGAGATAAACACATGTCTGGCCATGATGGGCTTCAACCAAGGGAGCCCCTGCAGAACCTGCCCCATGCTGTTTGATTTCCAGGCTGTAGAATGATGAGCTAAATAAACTCATTTTTTTCTTTATAAAATAAAAATAAAGAATAATATTAATGATAACCTAATGAACAACCTAATAGCTGCTATATATGTGCAGTTTTTCTTCTCTTTTGAAGTTCTTACAAATATTCTACGAGTAGGTACCTATTATTCTCTATTTTAGACCTGAGCTAATAGTGGCTCAGAGAGGTTAACCGGCCCAGGGACCCACAGCTGGCAGGTCTTGGTGTGAACTCTGTCCTGTCTGTCTCCACAGCAGCCTGGCCGTTCCCTTCACAACATCCCATGCCCAGTTCCACAGCTGTCTTCCCCCCTTCCTCTTCTTGTGTCCCTTCCCGAGTTATCTGCCCCCACCTGGCTCCATGGTGTTTTGCAGGGATGACACACCACACGTGCCTGACGAGAAGCTGGGAGAGGCAGTGGTGCTGGGAATCGTGGGACGTCTGACCAACCTCATCAGGGAGGTCTTTCCAGGTGAGTCTTTGCCTTTGGTCCCCCAGGAGGTGCCCGGATCAGAGGCACAGCAGCAGCAGCAGGGAGACTACTGACAGCGAAGGCTGAGGGCCAGGTCCCACCTGCAAGAGATCAGCAAGTTCCTTGGCCTGTGGAAAAACACAGGCTCCCAAATGCCTGGCATTTCACTGACCCTGCTTCTCCTTGTTTTATTTTGTTTTTTCTTTTCTTTTCCTTTTTCCAGTACTGGGGATTGAACTCAGGACCTTGTGCCTGTAAGGCAGGCGCAGTGCCACTGAGCTAAATCCCCAGCCTCTTGATTATGTTTTTAAGTGACCTGTGCCAAATCCAAGGTCCTGGAGTCCAAATCAGGGCTGCAGGCTGCCAGATGGACACCTGAGCAAACTACCCTCATTTCCTCTTTCAGTTTTGGTACAGTTGCTCTTCTAATGGTCTTGGGGATGGGTCCCTAGGGCCCAGATTGAAATAAGAATAATGAAAAGAAATAACAGTAGCATTAAGAGCTCTGTGTGTGTGTGTGTGTATTCAGTGCTCTCTGTGTTGGCACCACTCCTGCTACTATCTCATTTTTTAAAAATTTTATTTTTGAGACAGGGTCTCCCTATGTAGTTCAGGCTGGGCTTGAACTCACCATGTAGCCCGGGCTGACCTTGAGCTTGTATCGATCCTCCTGCCTCAGCCTCCCGAGTGCTGGGATTACAGGAGTGCGCCACCTTGCCAGGTACCACCTCACTTTTTCCTGATGAGGAATGTGAGTGTTGGGGTCAGGTCAACTGGTTAAGGTCACAAAACAAGAGCTGGGGCCTGAGTCCTGAGCTGAGCACTGCTCTTATTCACCACTAGTACTGTCTCTTCCCCTTAATGTAAACCAACTCATGTGAAAAGATGCCTGGATTCTTCCAGATTTTCTAAGCCAAAGCAGCATACCCCACTCAGCCGTGCCTGGTCTTGTTGAAGTTCCTGGAAAAGTCACTACTTAGGGCCAGCAGTAGGTATTATGATTCCTAATGTGCAGCTGGGAAGTATGGCCAGTCCCTTGCCAGGAGGCCTTCAAACTCAGACCTTTTTTTTTTTGAGCCCTTTCTTCTGCTCCACACAGGGCTTTGGAAGTAAAAGTGAAATAATGGATAAGAAATTGCTTTATTAACTATTATTTAACACAAACATAAATTATGAGATTTTGTAGTCTATGCCACCCTGGCACGCTTATAGAATTTCTCGATATTGCTGACTGTAAGATACTTCAATATTTTATGTATGGCTAAGAAAAAAGTGCTGTCACTTCCACAGTGACACCGTGCTTTCTCATGACCATACCAGGAAGACACACCTCACTTTTAGAGATGTTAAAATGAGACCAAACAGGAAGAGATGAAATGAGGTGTTATCTTATTTGAGAATTACAACACAGGTCAAGCAGAACATTTTCTAGTTTATAGATAAAGGACAGAAAGAGAGAGAGAGAGAGAGGAGGAGAAAGACTGCCAGTAGAGATTTTGGGTTGCACATCACGTGTTCTTGTAGCCATGTTCTACCTGCCTTACCCACCAGTCCCTTTGAATGCTGATCCTACCTGTGTAGCATGACAGACTGGCTGGGAATTCAGATATACAAGTACCACCCCCGATCCCTGCTGCCAGAACACCCAACCCTGGTCTCAGTTCTCACTCTGCCACATTCCAGCACCCAACTTCTATTTTCTCTCTGTGAAGAAAACAATGGTACTTGCTCCTGGGTTGTTATGCTGATGAAACAAGGTGATCTATTCACTCATTTAGTCCCTTGACAAATATTTACTGAGCACCTACTATGGGTCTGACGCCAACTGGTAGTTGGGGCCATGGCAGTGGACAGTGCCTTGTGAACAATATCGGACTGTACCTGCACAGAGCTTATGCTTGTAAGGAGCCTGGCACACAGCGGCAGTAAAAACAGGGGTTGGTAGGTGGGGAGTGATTCCCTCCCGTCTTGCCCTAGGGATTCCAGGGGTCAGTGCTTTTTCGGAATGGCTGCTGACATTTCCTTTAGGGAGGTGAGGGTCTTCTGGGCAGTCTCAGTGAAGCACTCTACAGCCTCCTACTTTGGCACAGTCTCAGCATTTCCAGACCTTGTAGGCAGAGCAAAGGGCTCGTTGGAGATATTTCCCAGCTGGGGAGCTGGAGGCTCTGGCCTCCCGTGCTGGTTCAATGTCATCGCTCAAGATGTGCTGAATTCACATGACAGCAAGGCTTGCTCTGAGCACAAGAGAGTTTTTCTTTACTTTCTCTGCAAGAGATTTGTGTTCACTGTCAGATATTAATTGAACACCTTTTATGCACCAGATACAGAGCCTGAAATAAAAGCAGGACTAAGCCTGTTCACAGGAGGAGATGGGTCTGCTGGACTCCCCACATCTCTTGGTCTCATTCCCAGGCCACTTCCTCGGGGAGGCCTCCCCAGGTCCCACTCCTGGCCTCTGTTGCTTCCACAGCAAGTGGCCCTTTCCTTTCTGTGACAGCCCTCATATCTCGAATTACTCAGTACCTATCAGCTCACTGGACTGCAGGTTCTCTGGGACCGGAAGCCTGGTTTCCAGCTCTACACTGGCACACAGTAGATGCTTAATAAAATGTTTTGTTTTTTTTTGTTTTGTTTTGTTTTTGCTACACTAATGAGATGAACTCTTTAGGCCTCCTGGAGTGAATCAGACTCCTTCTGTAATTGTAAGATGGACTTGAAATGAACAAGAACAGGGAACATTAAATTACCAAGTGGAGGATAATGAAAATGAATGACTTAGAGCCTCTCTTTTCTCCTTATCATCTGATGCCCCCTTTCTGAACAGGGAATTTTCTGCTGGGAATGGGGTTAGGGACCACGATCAGGGAACTCACTACTTTTCCTTTCCAGGTCAACAGAGTTCAGCCAGAGTCCATCAATTGTGGTTTCTGCTTATCTTTGTATTTTCCTCATCTGCTTTATCACTTCCGAATTTGCTCAAATGGCTCCTGGCCAGCTGAAAGCGATGAAGTCCACCAAGGGCTCTCAAATATTTTAAACATATGTCTTCTCTTCCTCCCAGATACTAAAGTCTATGCTGCTATGGGAAATCACGACTTTCACCCTAAAAGCCAGTTCCCAGCAATGAGCAACGATATCTACAATCAGGTAGCAGAACTCTGGAGACCCTGGCTTAGTAATGAATCTGTCGCTCTCTTCAAAGAAGGTAAGCTACTATAAGAAGCACTTACTGTACACCAACCAGGGCCTGATCTAATTCAGCTTCACAACAACCCCTTGAAGCAGGAGTTGATTTTAGCCCCATTTAACTGATTAGGAGACTGAGGCCCAAAGAGTCCAAGTCATTTGGCTGAAGTCATACAGCTTAGCAAAGGTAGATTTAAGGGTAGAATCCAGCTTGCTGTATTGGTGCATGCCTGTAATCCCAACTACTTGGGAGGCTGAGGCAGGAGGATTATAAGTTTGTGGCCATCCTGGGTAGTTTGGTGAGACCCTGTTGCAAAATAAAAATTTTTTAAAAGGCTGGAAATATAGCTCGGTGGTACAGCACTTACCTAGCATGTGTGAGGTTCTGGGTTTAATACCCAGTACTAGGGAAAAATCAATAAAGGAGTAGAATCCAGGACAGGCTCCAAAGCCCTATGCTCTTAATCCCACAGTACTAAGGGTGAGGAGCAGTCAGTATCCACTCAGCATTTGCTATGTGCTGGGCACCATCCTCAGCGCGATGCTATTCACAGGAAGCCGGAGAAGGATCTGGAAGCTTCAGCTGATGCTGGTTTGAGGGTGACATTTGGGGCTGGAGGACTGTCTGCTGCACCCTAAGATATTTAGCAGCATCCTTGGTTTCTACCCACTAGATGCCAGGAACACTCCAGTTCTAACAACCTCAAATGTTCCCTGGGGGCAAAGCCTCCTGGCTGAGAACCCCTGGTCCAGAGATACAGCCGACCCAAGGCGTCCCTGGCTCTGCTCTTCCCTTTCCTTACCCTTCTGCTGCCCGACTTCACTGGTCAAAGCCAACTGGAAGCACAACACAGAGCCTGTAGAGTTAGTCTGAATCGACTGGGTCCGAGTGGAGCATGGTTGGCAGTGGATCTCGACAGGCAAACACACTGCTGTTATTCTCATTGTATTAATGAGGACACGGAAGCACAGAGAGGTGAAACAAGTTTCTCGAATTGCACAGCTAATGAGTGAGAGCTAGGATTGAACCCAGGTGCGGCAGCCTGGCTCTGAGCCTTTGGTCTGACCCCTGGATGCCCCTCCTAAGGGGAAGATGGGGAAGGTGGGGGGCAGAGGCCCCCTTCAGGTCCTCCCTGGTTGTGACCCCCTTAGGTGCCTTCTACTCAGAGCCATTGCCAGATCCTAGCAGCCCGGGCCGCATGGTGGTCCTCAACACCAATCTGTACTACAGCAACAACCGGTTGACGGCGGAACTGGCTGACCCCAGCGAGCAGTTCCAGTGGCTAGACGGTGTGCTGACCAACGCGTCCCAAGCTGGGGAGAAGGTGAGCGGTGCTGGGACTCGGGGGTGCTTGTCTGTTTGCTGAGCGGGCAGCCCCTCAAGGACGGGCACGGTGGCTCATGTGCTGAGTCCTCCGAGCTGCCCAGCACGTCCTAGCAGGATGTCACGGCTGGGGTTTGTGAGCACGGTGGCCGAGTGCTCAGTAGGTGGGAAGGGTGTGCGTACTCCGGGAGAGGAAACGCGGGAGGATGTCGCCGAGGAGGTGCATTTGAGCCGTCCACCTGCCTTTGGGGAGACCGGCAGGTTTTGAGAGGTGGAAACAAAGGCCTGGAGGGTACATGTGAGTCCCCTGCATACCTCTTCTCTGTAGGTCTACATAATCGGCCATGTGCCCCCGGGTTTCTTCGAGAAGACTCGGAACAAGGCGTGGTTCCGGGAGGGCTTCAACCAGGAGTACCTGAAGCTGGTCCAGAAGCACCACAAAGTCATAGCAGGACAGTTCTTCGGGCACCAACACACCGATAGCTTTCGGATGTTCTACGATGATAAAGGTACTCACTGGAGGGCGGCTGCCAGCCCACCTGCCTCCTGTGCTCAGCAGCCTCTCTCATTCCTGCTGTCTCTCTCCCAAAAGGTGCACCCATAAGCGTCATGTTCCTTGCCCCTGGGATCACCCCATGGAAAACCACATTGGTTGGAGTGGTCAATGGATCCAACAATCCAGGCATCCGGCTGTTTGAGTATGAACGAGCCACACTGAACCTGCAGGTCAGGAGCCCGGGGTCTGCTGGGGCGGAGGAGGAGGGTAGAGGGACCCAAACCTGTCACTGCCTTCCCTGGTATCACTTAACTCACTGTTACTGACCGCGGAGCCTCAGGAAGGTCGAGACACTCCACTCCACTCTCCTTGATCTCAGGCAAGCCAGGTCAATCCTTCTGGACCACTGCCAGCCTCCTGCCTGCTCTCCCTGCTTCCAGCCCTGTCCTGCTGTAAACTCATCTGCTGTACACTACAGAAGGGGTTAATCTCTCTAAAGCATTGTTTTCACCTTCCTTTTCTTCTGGTCAGTGTTGAGGCTGATACCAAGGATCAGTAGCTAGAGGCCAGCCTGGGCTACGGTGAGAGCCTGTCTTAAAAAACAAAACAAAAAAAAACCCCAACAAAACCATCACTGTCTTTCCAGTGCCCTCAATACAAAGTTGGATCTTCTTGGCCTAGTTTTGGAGGCTTCCCACAGTCTGACCTCAAGCCCATTGCCCATTTCTTCCCACTGGACTAGGTTCTAGCCACTAATTTATGAAGCAACCCCTACAAGCAATCCTTGTGATTGTGGAAATGACCAAGAAATGCTATTCTTTCACATGTTCTACAAAATATGTCAAGCACCTGCCACTTGGCAGACTCTGTCTCAAGTTCAGGAGATAAACGAAGGACCCAAAGTAAGTTCCTGCTCTCCTGGACCTGATAGTCTCACAAGAGAGAGGCAATCAACAAATGAGTAAAATTAACTGTAGACATCTCTAAAGAGAATGGCTAAAGAGAAAAAGAAAACAACGAGGAGACAGAGTGGCGGTGGTTACGGGGTATGTGTGCTGTGTTAAACACGTGCGACAGAAAGTGTCACAGGTGATGCTTGTGTCCCGAGTATGCTGGGTAGAAATGTGGGAAAGGCAGAGGAGAGGCATAAGTTCATACTCAAACAGTCAGAGACCTTGGGGTGGGAATGTGCTGGGTGTTTCCGAAAAGAACAGGAGGCGGAACGGCCACAGTGGCAGGCACAGGGGAGCCTGGGAGGGACGTGACTGGATCTGAAGCCTTGAGGACTCTGGATTTGGAGGGTTTGGGGCAGAAGCATGAAATATTTTGACTATATTTTAATAAAATCACTGTGTCCGCTACACAGAGAGCAGACTGTTGGGGCCCAGGAGCAGAAAGCAGCTGTGAGGTGTCTGTGGCTGTGGTGACAGGATTTGTGAGAAATATCAGCGCCCGGAGGCATTGGAGGCAGAGTAGCTGGGATTCATTGCAGCTCGGTGTGGGCCATGGCAGGTGACGGGAAGAATGGAATGCAGGAGGACCCTAAGGCTTTGGGTCTGAGCCATTGAAAGGATGGGGCTGCTGCTTACTGAGACAGGGTGACTGTGAGGACGCTGGTTGCAGAGGGATAATCAGAGCTGTGCTTTCGGACCTGTTGACTTTGGGATGGCTAACTGGCATCTACACAAAAAGGGCCAGGGATCAAGCAAGCTAGAATTCTGGAACAGGTGAGTATGGACATTTAATCTGGGAGCTGAGAGAGGACATTTAAAGTCAGGGACAGGAGGTCCTAGATTCTAGACAGTAAGTACAGACCAAGAAGTCTGAGGATTTTTCAGAGCGTGGCTGAGCTGCTTCACCTATAAAATGGAAGTGACAGCACAGGTTTTGAGGAGGACTGGAAGAAATAGTGTAATGTGCTCAGTGTGCGTGTTTCTCATCCAGCTATAGCAGGTCCCTTCCCTGTCTCCAGTAACTGCAGACTTAACTGGAAAGTGTTGGACCAATAAACCCTCCAGATTCTAGTCCTGCAGATGCCCCTGGGTCCCTGGGGTCTTGAGTGTGTCCTCAACTCCAGAAACCACAGTTCCTGTCAGCTGGAGCCCCTCTCCTGGTTATTCCCACTCAGTCCATAAAGATTCGCCAAGCATCATTGCCGCGCTAAGCACATGCGCGTCCGACCTTGGTCGGGCAGACAGTACGCAGGCAGTGAGGTCAACATTCTGGGTTCCAGCCCCACCTTTGCCACTGAACACCCAAATGGCCATGGCCAAGTGGACTGACCTCTCTAGGCCTCTGTTTCCTCACTTGTGAAATGGGGGAAATAAGCCTGGGTCCTCGTAGGATCCATTCAGACGATGTCTGCCAAGCACACCTGGTGAGTAGAGAGTGCTCACTAGTGCAGACCAAAAGAACAAGAGGGAGAATGCAAGGAACAGGACTGGGGTGCACCAGACAGCCGCTCACTCCCGGCCCCCTTTGTGCACCTGCTCCAGGACATGAAGACCTACTTCATGGACTTGCGCCAGGCGAATGCACAGAACAACCCACGCTGGGAGCTCGAGTACCAGGTGACTGAGGCCTATGGGGTGCCCAATGCCAGTGTCCACTCCATGCAAGCGGTAGCGACTGGCATCGCGAGTAACCAGGACAAGCTGCAGCGCTACTATGTCTACAACTCTGTGAGCTACGACACGACAGCCTGTGGCAAGACCTGCCGTACAGAATTCTTGTGTGCCATGCAGGAAGTGGACTTCAAAGCCTATTCCACTTGCCTGAACAACGCTGGTGCCAGGCCAGGGCTGGGGGGCCTGCTGGTCCTGCTGGTCATGCTGCTGGGCCTGCGGGCTCTGCTTGAACCCTGACCTTGGGCACGGCTCTTCCCTTGTGGGGCTCATTTTCCTTCTAGTAAAACAGGGTAGTGTCACCCCATCGAGAGCTGATTTTGCCACCATTTCCCTGTGTCAGAGGAAAGTAAGCTGGTATGGGACAGGTGGGATCAGGAAACGAAGCCCCAAAGGCCCCTCTGGAAGCACATTTCTCTTAAGTTTCAGGTTTTATCTGCAAAAATAGTGCACATGGTGCATCTTATTCTGTGCCTTATTCCTTTTAAAATATAAATGTTTAAATCAGCTCACTTTTATTTACTAAATTGTGCTGCTCTCTTTGCTCTGGAGTCACTCTCTTAGTCTGTCCCCAGTTCAAGGCACAGACTACGAGCGCGTGAAATTTGCAAAATCCTGCTGAGGAATCAGAATGTACCTGTTTGCTTCCGTCACAGCTCATATACAAGGGATTGTTACTGGCCAACCAGCCAAATGAGCACTCCACATCAACAAAGCAATGCCTGCAACTGTGTTCTACCTTCGACTCTCTCCTCACACCACCCAGTGGTCCCAAATGACTGGTAGGAGGGCCAAAGGTGAAGGTGCTTAGACACCCAAATGGCACTGCTGAATACCTTAAGGTCAAATGGCTACTTCGTTAGCCCAATCAAATGCTGGAGAGAGCAGATGCCTGGAGTGCGCTTTCAAGCCAGAAAACAGGTGGAGGCCATCAGCTCCCCACATAACCTGTTTTCTTCCACCAAGAAAATCATTTATAGCAGCTAATTCTATAAACAGGAAAAAGGAGAATTCCCAGGTGCAGAAGTATCCTTGACAGTTGCTAGAATGTCCTTGGAGTACTGACGATGGGTTCAACTAGGCACAAGGAGCCAGCCCGTTTTTCTAAGTGCCTGTGGCCTGGCCAGTAGGAAAGCAGGAGACCCAGGCCCCTCAGGAGTGGGACTCACCTCCGGGTGAGCTGAAACTGTTACCAGCTATTGGGGTCCATAAGCTCAAGTCCATTTGCTTGCTGCCGACCAAGCCACAGCTTGACCAGCAGGGGCCATTTATTTCAGTGAAAAGAAAAAAGGGTTTATTGAAAGTTAGCTCCGAGTAGATGGAGGGGCCTCTGTTGCCTCAAATCACCATCTCTCCCCTACAGGTGTGTAAGTGGCTTTTCTAGGGAGGGCCAGAGGGGAGAGGGAATACAACTCCAGGCTTGTTTACTTTTCCTGAAGCCCGACCTCCTGGACCAGCATCTGCATATTCTGTCCACAAGTCTAGGCCAAGAGGTGGGGGCGGCATTTATGGCCCATAAAAGTCTGGAGAAGCCACTTGTCTCTAAAACACACAGTTCTAACTTTTTTAAAATTTCATTTGCTGAACAGGTTACCAGGTAACAGTGTAGCTCGGGTTCTAGCCCACAGCCGTTCTCAGCTTCTTGGACCTCCAGGGGCCTTTACTCGAAGCTTGATAAGCATCAGCTAAGCATCAGCCAAGCGCTGGTGGTGCCTGTAATCCCAGCAGTCTGAGAGGCAAAGGCAGGAGGATCACAAGTTTGATTGAGCCCAGCCCGGGGGCCTTATTGAGTCCTAGTCTCAAAATAAAAATTTAAACTGGGCGTGGTAGCCATGCCTATGATCTCAGCACTCAGGAGGCTGAGGTAGGAGGATAACCGAGAGTTCGAGGCCAGCTGAACTACATAGCGAGACCCTGTCTCCAACCAACTAAACCACATTTAAAAGAGGGCGGTGAGGCTCAGTGGGAAGACCCTGGGTTTAACCCCCAGTACAGTTAAAAAAAAAAAAAAAAAAGTCTGTTAAGCAAGGGGACCGGTCTT